TCAGCCGGGAGCCTGCTTCTCCCTCTCCTACTCCCCCTGCTTGTGTTCCCTCTCTAGCTCTCTCTGTGTGTCAAATAAATAAAATCTTTAAAAATGATAATAATAATAATAATAATTCATAGGCAATCACATATCTGGATTCTAAATTTTCTAAGATATTGATAAAGTACTTTTCTTTCTAGACCAGAAAGGAGACAGTAATGTAGCTCACTTTCAAGAGGCCTTGCCTTAGCAAACTTAATCTCTCTCTCCTACCAAAGCAGTAACCACTGTCTTAAACCCAGCTATAGAACATCATATGATGGATTTATGTATACAAAAATAACAGCAATTACAGATTGTTCTCAAATGAAATCACCAACATGCTTGCTAAGCATAAAATGTTGGCCATTTGATACTTTGGGGATTTACTTTAAGAAGTTTAAAGGAAAACTGAGATGGAGTTTCAAATACTGTAACATGAATTATAGGATAAAAAAGGTTTAAAGAAACCATACTACTCTAAGAGAGACCCAACTGTGGGGCTCACCTGTTTCCAACTGGACTTCAACCAGGAATTCAGCATACTAGTTGACAAAACTGATTATAATCTTTGGTTGATAGCATGATTGTGGGGTGATCTGGATTTACACTGCATTGTAAATATTCAGAACAATCTGACTTCAAGTGGCATCCCACAAGGAACAGATATCATTATCCATGCAACTAGATAGCTCTATTATATGCTACCAAATCACACCTAAGTTCTTAAAATTAAGATGCCTACATTCAGTCTTCAATGGTCTTTCTTCTCAAATATTCAATTAAATATTAATAATGAGGTTCAGAAATATATCAACCTAGCTGCTATATCAATCCCTAGCTGATCTTACCTAAAAATAAAAAGCCACGGGGCGCCTGGGTGGCTCAGTCGTTAAGCGTCTGCCTTCGGCTCAGGTCATGGTCCCAGGGTCCTGGGATCGAGCCCCGCATCGGGCTCCCTGCTCCACGGGAAGCCTGCTTCTCCCTCTCCTACCCCCCCTGCTTGTGTTCCCTTTCTCGCTGTGTCTCTCTCTGTCAAATAAATAAATAAAATCTTAAAAAAAAATAAAAAATAAAAAAATAAAAATAAGCCAAAGCACAGGTGTCTACAAATGAGGCTTATATAGTCCCACCAAGCTATAACTACTTTTTTTTTTTTTGCTATAACTACTTTCTTAGGGTATTATTTTCAAATGTTTGGGTTGTAAAGCTTTGTTTGGGTTGTAAAGCTTAGATTGATTGATTTTATTATCTCTATACCCAACATGGGGCTTGAACTCATGACCCCAAGCTCAAAGTTGCATGCTCTACTGACTAAGCCAGGCAGGTACCCTAGGTCATAAAGCTTAGAAAGTGATTTTTCCTTCAGTGATGCTCAAAATATGTGATACAAGTCATCTCCATCTCTGTAACAGTCTATTTTCTATTCCTGCCTATCCAACATGCCCATTAAACTTCTCATTTAGCATAAAAAACCAAGCCCTAAACTTGAGAGGCCCATTCTCATCCTATACTATGGCAGTCACATTACTTGGTTTTAGATGACCTGTTAGGAGTGCACCTGCCCCTTTAATCTATATCGCTTGTAAAAGATTAGATTATTCATTCAGGAAGGTAATCCTAAACCAATCTTTAACTCTGGGTTCAAAGAGTGAAAAAGAGTATCTGAACCAGTATCTTCATTTTCATAGATGAGGAAAATGAGTCCAAAGAGGTAATTTCTCTGAATTCTCTGTGGTCACATACCTAATTGGTGGCAGATGCAAGAACAGAGATCTCTCTAATATCAAGTGAATCTGACTCAATTTAAATTAACCCCAAGGATACCATATCCACAAATGACTTAGAAATGGATCAGTGGAGGGTGCCTGGGTGGCTCAGACGGTTAAGCATCTGCCTTCAGCTCAGGTCATGATCCTGGGGTCCTAGGATAGAGCCCCACATTGGGCTCCCTGCTCAGCAGGGAGCCTGCTTCTCCTTCTCCCTCTGCCTGCCTCTCTCCCTGCTTGTGCTCTCTAATAAAAAAATTTAAAAAGTCTTTAAAAAAAAAAAGAAATGGATCAGTGGAAAACATGTGTTCTATTTTGGAACATTCAGTAGCTGGGAAGCAGGTATGAACTCCTCCCCAGGCTGCTGATCACACTTCAGTTCATTGCTCTTCCATGAGCTATGGGCATGAGTTTTCCAACTGTAGGGCTTGCAAAAAAATTCTCAGGCACTCATACCACTGACCACACAGTCTTTGCAAGAAGAAACATCAACTTTGGGAACAACTTGGCAACTACAAGCTGCCTTGCAAATCACTGGCTGAGTTTCCTATAATGGTGTTCATGCCACCATTGCCAAACACAATTTCCTAGTCCAACAAATGGCTAGTCTGTTTTACATGGCCTCAAATTGGACAAATTTCTCAAGGTGCTATGTGGCTTTAAGGATTTAGATTTAACCCGGTCTTTCTCAACAGTGGCACTATGACATTTTGAGGACAATTCTTGGCTATGTGAGATTATCTAGTACATTGAAGAAGGTTTAGAATCACTGGTCCTTTGTCTTTTTTTTTTTTTTTTAATTTTACTTATTTAACAGAGATAGAGAGCACAAGTAGGCAGAGTGGCAGGCAAAGGGAGAGGGAGAAGCAGGCTCCCATGGAGCAGGGAGCCCAATGTGGGGCTTGATCCCAGAACCCTGGGATCATGACCTGAGCCGAAGGCAGATGCTTAACCGACTGAGCCACCCAGGTGCCCCGGTCCTCTGTCCTTTAAATGCAAGGGTACAGTAGTAGTCCCCCCTTATCTGTGGTCTCACGTTCCAAGGTTTCAGTTACCCACAGTCAACTGCCGTCCAGAAGCAGGTGATCCTTCTCCTGACACATCATGAGGTCAATAGTAGCCTAAAGCTACGTCACAATGCCTACATCATTCGCCTTGCTTCATTTCATCACGTAAGCATTTTGTCCTCCCACATCATCACAAGAAGGATGAGATTGATATATGATTTTTGAAAGAGAGAAACCACATTCACATAACTTTTATTACAGCATATTGTTGTAACTGTTCTATTTTATTATTAGTTATTACTGTTACTCTTTTACCATGCCTAATTTATAAATTAAACTTTAACATAGGTACGTATGTATAGGAAAAAACACAGTATATAGAGGGTTAAGTACTATCTGTGGTTTCAGGCATCCACTGGGGGTCTTGGAATGTATCCCCTGTATTCCCACCAGTCACAACCCTCACACATTTAGAAATGACCTCAAAGGGTAAGATATCACCAGCAGTTTAGCCTTCAGGTCAACCATTAAATGAACTATAAAGTTATAAGAAATATTTACATAAAGACTTGACCCCTAAAAAAAAAGACTTGACCCCTCTTATCTGCCACTAAATACTGCCCTCTATTCATCTTTTTAGCCCAGAGATTAAATGAAATCTTTGTTCATCAACTCCTGAACACCAACTTTGTCTAAACTAGCTAAATAATTAAGACACTTTTACTGTCAGGGAAGTAGAGTAGAAAAGTTACTGAAATGGAATCAGGGCACCTTTGAATTCCAGTTTTCTGGTTATTCACCCTTAGACAAGTTATTTCCCCTCTTTAGGCCTCAGTTCTCTCATCTACTTAAATAAAAAGCATTAGGCTACATTATCTCTCAGGTTTATCCCAGTTCTAGGAATCTGTGACATAAAACATAATTAACTGGCTTAACTCTTTTGACTCCACATGGCTAAATGGGGGTGTCCATCGACACTTACTACCTCATCTTTCAGAAGTAAGGACCCCAAAGTCCCAGAAGAGTCACATTCAGCCAGAGCCGGTATGGGATTTTACTACACGGTCTATATCTTGAGTATATAAAAAGGAGCTTAATTATTTTATGATCCATTAATAATAGAATCACCAAGATAATAACAGCAATAGTCACTCTAACTAATGTTTATCTCTGCTAGACTATCATCTCAACCCTGGCCGTACATTAGAATCACCTGGATAGTTTAAAAAAAAAAAATGCCCCAGCTCCAAACCAAGCCAATATCAAATGAATCAGAATCTCATTTCTGGAGATAGATGGGGCTCATTTCTTAAGGTTCCACCAAGTAATTCTGATGTACAGTGAAAACCAAGAACCACTAATCCAGGCTCTTTAATCCAAGAAATGCAAAGCAAATGACCAAAGATCAGTATATCACATACTGGCTGTATAATCAAACATCAATAAATAAGAATAATCCACTGTTACTATTCACTGACATTCTCGGTTACATATAAAGAATTCCATTTCTAGAGAAAAAGGGAGGTCTATAACAACCTTTTGTTCCTGCCACAGGTTGTTATTGAGGACGAACCCTGCCAGAAATAGTATATACCTTCCTGACATGAGAAAGCAATTCAAAGAACGATTACTATAAATTTGCCCAACCCTGCAAAAGTCCTATCAACCATTAAGACAGTTACAACATTAGTCAAAGTAGTACAGAAACCAAAATTCCTCAACCTAACTCTCACTGACTAGATGTCACTAAAAGACCAAGTATGTACAAAGAACAGGAAAAAGTTGAGAGGAACATTTAGGAAAAGACACTTTGAAAATTGCACTTCATGCAAAGTTCATTTATTCATCAAAGCTTCAAGTCCAGGGGCGCCTGGGTGGCTCAGTCGTTAAGCGTCTGCCTTCAGCTCAGGTCATGATCTCAGGGTCCTGGGATCGAGCCCCGCGCGTCGGGGTCCCTGCTCTGCGGGAAGCCTGCTTCTCCCTCTCCCACTCCCCCTGCTTGTGTTCCTGCTCTCGCTATCTCTCTCTCTGTCAAATAGATAAATAAAAAAATCTTTAAAAAAAAAAAAAAAAAGCTTCAAGTCCAGTGATGCAGTTAAAGGTGGTACAACCTGGGCTAAAATTATTCTTGCTCTTTCCAGAACAAAATCAGTGAAACCCATAGGTCATGTTAAATAAGTAAAACATTAAATTTCTGTCTTACCTTATGTGTAAGGCCAAGCCATCCTGTAGGCTGGAGATCCCCAAATCAGAGAGTGTATCTGAGCCAACAGAAGCTGGTGATAGAGAGCCCTCCTTCTCCTCCAGCAGATCCAGCTTCACCAGGTTGCTAATTTCATCCTCTGAGTTATCTTCAGACACAGAACCAATTATGAATCGGGAGTGCTGGTTCAGCTCCAGAGGTTTGGCCAAGGGGGATGGTTCATCCATTATTCCTTCAAAATGAGCTCTCAGAGCTATGAAGAAAATGAGTGAGAAAAGCAGGTTATGGATAACAACCTGTTATCAGAGGACAACCATAGATTATACCTAATATACTACAGCTGGCACTTGGAAGCAACATATAGTTTGAGAACTAGTTTCTTTGGCTATCTATTTCAGGGCCTCTGTTTTCTACAAGGGAGGAAAATCCAGATCATGATAACCATGCCTAAAAAATTAAAATTAGCTCCCTCTTCCTCAAAGAAATCTCTCTCAAAAAACTATAAGCCATTCCCAATCTCTTTATTAATTTGGTAACGTCCAAGAAATAATTATGATCAATGGAGAAACCTTTGCAGTAGGTGAAAGCTGCTCATGCTAGTGTGACTTCAGTTGTCAATACTAGGGAGAAATGCAGGAAAAGATTTGCGGAGAGTGGTGGTTGTTTCAAACTAGGTATTTAGAGTAAACTATACAACTATCACCTCGTTCCAACTGTACACTGTGAGAGGTTGTGAATTTTACATATGTGTATTTTTGTATAAATATATACACATAAAATACATTGACATTGATTAATAGAGAGAGAGAGAAAATCTTTACTTGTCCTCATGAGTTTTTTCTTCAATTACATCTGTTAAAAATTCATCCAAAAATGTCTGCTCTTGGCTCTAATGTGCTGACATCGATAGGGAGAAAATGAATGTACTATCAAATTCAAAACCTATAATTAAAATAAGGGAGGGGTGATCTCAATTAAGTATTAGTTTTCTAGGTATAGGGCCTTATTAGCCAAAATTAAATATTTCCAACTACTAGCAAACTAATTAACAAAGACCAGAACAGTTCAAAGCCCACAAGAACAATAAAAACCAAAGCTAAAAGAAACAATATTTATTCTGTCACTCAAAAAATTCCATAAAAAAACCCTTCAGAACTACACATCAACTTAGCACTGAACCTCTTGCGGCCTAACAATTTTAATTTAGAAAGCAATATTCCCAATACTGATTTCAAGGTGTATCAATAGATAATAAATTTATATTAATAAATTATGCTGTAGACTACTTTGAAGTATAACAGTAGGTAGAAAGCAGTGTTCTTTGACATCAGATAACAAAACATCAAGATTTAAAAATGTTTGGGGCGCCTGGGTGGCTCAGTCATTAAGCATCTACCTTCGGCTCAGGTCATGATCTCAGGGTCCTGGGATCGAGCCCCACATAGGGCTCCCTGCTCAGCGGGGAGCCTGCTTCTCCCTCTCCCACTCCCCCTGCTTGTGTTCCTGCTCTTGCTATCTCTCTGTGTGAAATAAAATCTTAAAAAAAAAGATTTAAAAATGTTTGGAAATCACCATTAAACATTAAAATGACACGTGCACCATTATTCTTGTGTCATTGGTGAATCAGAGCTTATTCATTTACAAAGACAAAACAGTATTTGTAAATGATAGAGCAGTGGTTCTCAAAAAATGTAGTTGCCAGGCCAGCAGCAGTAGCAGCAACATCACCAGGGTACCTCTTAAAAGTACAGATTCTCGGGCACCTGGGTGGCTCAGGTGGTTAAGCGACTGCCTTCGGCTCAGGTCATGATCCCGGAGTCTGGGGACAGAGTCCCACATGGGGTTCCCTGCTCAGCAGGGAGTCTGCTTCTCCCTCTGGCCCTCTCCCCTTTCATGCTCTCTCTAATAAATACATAAAATCTTTAAAAAAAAAAGTACAGATTCTCAGGCCCTACCATAGAGCAAATAACTGTATCAGAATCTACAGTTTGGGGCCCAGTATTCTATATTTTAACAAATCCTAAAAATTTGAGAACCACTCTGCTATAAGAATAAAACAGTAATAACAAATTGCCAGGAATGCTAAAAAAAAAAAAAAAAAAAAAATTACTTCTAGGTATTTCCCAATAGTGAGTTAGAGATTACTTCAGTTAACTTTTATTTTAAAAACTAGAATCAAATATAAAAATGGTATGCAACAGGAAAAACTTGACATCTAAATTTACTATACATTCCTCCCTTGGGATACTAGGTTTCTTTAAAATAATTTTTAAATGTCTCCAAATTTTATTAAGATAATCACTTCCAGAAATCTAAAAGAAAACCAATCATTTAAAAAGAGAAAGAAGAAAGGAAGGAAAAAGGGAAAAGAAGGACAAAGTGAGGGAAGGAGGGAGGGAAAGTTCCAACAGATTGACCACTTTGAGGAACACCAAAAGGTACAGCAACAAAAAAGTCTACTTCTTTCACATTTTAGAGCAGTAAATAATCAAGTTTAAAAAAAAAAATAAGAGGGGCGCCTTGGTGGCTCAGTCGTTGGGCGTCTGCCTTCGGCTCAGGTCATGATCCCAGGGTCCTGGGATCGAGCCCCGCGTCGGGCTCCCTGCTCTGCGGGAAGCCTGCTTCTCCCTCTCCCACTCCCCCTGCTTGTGTTCCCTCTTTCGCTGTGTCTTTCTCTGTCAAATAAATAAATAAAATCTTTAAAAAAATAAACATAAAAAAATAAGAAAAGACCCCCTTCCCTCCCCACCCCTGCAGAATTCCAAATTCCATCTCAACTAATATAGAAAATAATGGCTGCCTTCTTCACAGGAGAAATAAATAAGGCATTCAGGGGCATGTTCTAGTTTAGAGTCTGACTGAAATTAGATGACTACACAAAAAAATAAAATTCATGAGAAAAGAGAAATTCTCTGATTCCATGGGAGAAGAAGAAGAAATGATTTAACTAATAAACGAGAGGCTCCATAAGGTCAACTTCAAATTTTTCTTTCCTAGCTAAGAACATGAAGGCAGCCTCCCCTGAATTGTTGCAAAGATTGGAAGCAGCTCAGCTGTCAGCAGCTAAAGAGCCTATCAACCAACCAGCAATTCTCCTGAACGGTATCCCCGGGCACAAGCCTGCAAAGCACCAGAAAAGAGAGGTCATGTATGGAAAATCACTGAGTAGATGTCCAGACACTCTAGAAACTACTCTATGGCCCGTCCCACTTCCACTGAATCTAGTCCAGAATTAAAGAGAAAGGGGGGTGGAATACTACCACTGTCAGACCATTCACTTCAGGTTATTCCCCCCGCTAAATCTGCCTATGTGCTTTTTGTAGAAGGCAACTTTTCACATAAATGCCTACAGTTTAATACTTTAGCACATGAACATGAAATTTTTATCACACTGTAAACATGAAAGAATATTATTTGTAACTGACCTCTTATAATTCTTACTGTCTGAGCAGATATCCACCTCCAAAAAGAACTAGAGAGAAAGAGAGAGATTTGAAGTGGTTTTATTTTTTAAGAAACCCAAATTTTAGCAATTCCTGTTTTGCTCAGCATGATACAAAACTGATAGTACTCAAAGTATCATTTTTCTGATCAAATCTATTGTTTAATTTGAAGCATAAAGTTCAGTTGTTTAACTATTATTTATTCATATCTATAAATCAAAAGCATTACACAAAGAGTTTGTTTTTTCATGAAAGTATTAAATAATAATCCAAGCTTACCACTTCAGGAGGTGCCTTTTCCAATTGTATACTTCGATGAACATATTCCAACCCTATGATAGCCAATATTTCATCAAAAAAGAGGCAGGGGGGGAGAAGAGAACCACTAGATCCCTTGGAACTCAGACTCTGATTATATTTCCAAATGGTTATACCCACATATAAGGTTGGAAGCCAGGAAGGGGACAGATCTTGCATTAAATTAAACTAAAAACTAAATCTAAATCCCTTAGATCCCTAAAACTCTAAGGGATCAAGAAGTCTCTAGCTACTTCCCGAAACCTAGGTTTCCTTCTATGCCCAACAATTTATATGTATCCAGGATAAAAATTCTCAACTTTGGTTATGTATAACAATCACCTATGGAGCTACTTATTTATTTATTTATTTTTAATTTGAGTATAGTTGACACATGATGTTACACTGGTTTCAGGCCTGTGGAGCTTTTTTGGGGGGAGGAGGGGAACCAGGCAGTTTTATTTATGATGGCAACTAGAAGACTCCACGCTTAGGAGCGTGGGCGAGATAAGGACTGAGCCCATGCCTTCTGCTTCTCGTTGGGATTCCTGGGGGCAAACTTCTCCCCCAGTTTCTTCCACATTCCTTTATTCATTTCCTTAAACTCTTTCAAGATGTCTGTGGACAGGATCGGCTTGTACTCTTCTGTGGACAGGCCAGTGAAGCTCACGTCTTTGGGGCAAGGGTCCTTGTGTTTCTAACAGTTTGAATGGAGCCATGTGAAACTCTCATACATCCGATCACAGGCCTCAGGCTCTACAATCTTGAGTATTCTCTCCCTCCAGAAAGGCCTGTGCTACGCCTGGCCCGTTTGGTCTCCTCCACTGGCCATTCCTCACAGAGTTTTAGGAAACGCCAGCAGGGGCTGGCCTCCATTTTGGGCCACCCCATGGTGCTTTTTAAAAACGTGTCTAAACTCGGGCGCCTGGGTGGCTCAGTTGGTTAAGCGACTGCCTTCAGCTCAGGTCATGATCCTGGAGTCCCTGGATCGAGTCCCGCGTTGGACTTCCTGCTCGGCAGGGAGTCTGCTTCTCCCTCTGACCCTCCTGCCTCTCATGTGCTCTCTCTCTCAAATAAATAAATAAATAAATCTTTAAAAAAAAAAACATGTCTAAACTCCACCCCAGATCTACCAAATCAGATTCACTGCTGGAGGCCCAGAGATCTGAATATTAAATTCCACAGCTGACTGACACTGATATATCTCCAGGCTTGAGAACCACTGATACAGGGTGGAGAAGAAATCCAGAACTTCTAAGACCTCGAATGACAAGCGATAGGACTGGGGACAGTGCAGGTATGTTAACTGAGGAAGCTGGATTTACCCAATTATGTGGTTTAAGCTGGTATTATTCCCTACAGTTGTGGTAGGGAAGAGGGGGTGAGAATAGGAAGGAGAAAGGAAGTAGTTTGAATCAGATGCAACCAAAGGGGCAGTAGAGCTGGAGTCAAAACCTAGGACTCAAGCTCAAATTCTGACTTTGCCAAGTATTGGCAGTGCAAACTTGAACGAGTCACTTAACATCTCTGATTCTCGTCATCCGTAAAAATAAAAAGGTCATACGCTACCTCAGGGGACTGCTGTGAAAACAGAGAGTATATGAAGTATTCTGTAAACTATGTACTAGACCAGTGTTTTTCAAACTATGGGTTACCACCAAGCAGAACAGTAAGAAATAAATTTAGAAGGTTACAACCAACATTTTATTTTATTTTTTTAAAGATTTTATTTATTTATTTGACAGAGACAGAGATAGCGAGAGCAGGAACACAAGCAGGGGGAGTGGGAGAGGGAGAAGCAGGCTTCCCGCAGAGCAAGGACCTATCCCAGGACCCCAGGATCATGACCTGAGCCGAAGGCAGACACTTACCCGGCTGAGCCAGCCAAGCGTCCATACAACCAACATTTTAAAAATGAAGGGGCGCCTGGCTGGCTCAGTCGGTAGAGCATGCCACTCTTTTTTTTTTTTTTTAAGATTTTATTTATTTATTTGACAGAGAGAGACACAGCGAGAGAGGGAACACAAGCAGGGGGAGTGGGTAAGGGAGAAGCAGGCTTCCCGCTGAGCAGGAGCCCCAAATGGGGCTCGATCCTCAGGACCCTGGGATCATGACCTGAGCCGAAGTCAGACGCTTAACAACTGAGCCACCTAGGTTCCCCGAGCTTGCCACTCTTGATGTTGGGGTTGAGAGTTCGAGCCTGGTGTTGAGCATAGTTTACTTTAAAAAAAAAAAGTCATTAAAAATGAAATAGAACAGAACACCTGGGTGGCTCAGTCAGTTAAGCGTCTGCCTTCGGCTTATGATCCCGCTTCTCCCTCTGCCCCTCCCCACTGCTGGTGACCTCTCCCTCTCTTTCTCTGACAAATAAATAAATAAAATCTTAAACAAAAAATGAAATAGAACAGAAGATGTTAAGAGTAACCATACTTTGTAAGGACGAATATTGTTCTGTGAATTTTTATATCCGTTATATGTATGTCCAAAAAAAAGTCTTAGAGTCACAATGAATCCTTGCTCTCCTGCCCCCTCCACTTTATGCTCTCACAAGAGAACAAACACAGTGACTTAATACCTAAACCAATGGTTCTTAAACTTTCTTAGGTCAGGACACTATTAGAAATCTGATAAAAGCTCTGGACTCTTACTTGACAAAAATTCACCCTCACACAAAATTCTGCTTACATACAAGTTTAGGACCCCCAAAGCCTTGCCATGAATCAGGTTAAGATCCTTCTCTCTAGAAAGAAGACAAAGAATGGAGGTGATCCCTGGGAAAGGCTCATATAGCTGCTATCTCACCACCTCCAAAAGAAGGCCAAAAGAAGGCCTTTCCCCAGACGGAGGGGTAGTACATTCTGCTTATCCAAATAAAAATTTTCTTCATTAGATCAAATTGTCAAATTCTCCTTTATTAAAAAAGAAAGTTTTAAAATGTTCTTGAACTGTTAGAAACTCTTCAAAATATTTGCAGAAGGCTCCCAAACTATACCCTATGTGCCTGAAAATGGGATAAAGCTAATTATAGCTAATGCACTTTTATTTAAGAGTCAGCCTGCATTTCACCCAGGGATATTTCTCTAAATAAAACAGAACAGATTTTACCAAACTTATGTTTCCCTTGAACTCAAGTGACACTATTTTCCAAGTGATTCTAATAAAGAGGCATCAATTAGTTTTCATAGCCACTGATAAAGTATCCAAGCTGGGGACACCTGAGTGGCTCAGTCGGTTAAGCATCTACCTTCAGCTGAGGTCATGATCCCAGGGTCCTGGGATTGAGTCCTGCATCAGGCTCCTTGCTCAGCGGGGAGCCTGTTTCTCCCTCTGCTTGCTTTCTCTCTCTGCCAAATAAATCAATCTTTAAAAAAAAAAAAAAAGTATCCAAGCTGACACAACATGTCCTTGCCTTTTAAGTCATAGTAACTTCATTTGAATTTCTTCAAAAATAATCACTGAATCTGCTTTTCATTTTTGTCGTTTTACTGATAAACTTTTAAATGGATTTTAGTATTAATTCAGTAACCATGAGTTTTTTAAAGCCACATTTTATTTTCCTGCAAGTTTTAAAGATTTTATCTATTTATTTATTTTTAGAAAGAGAGCACTCGTGCCTGAGCTTACTGGCACGTGAGCTGGGGGAGGGGCAGAGGGGGAGAGAGAGCCAGAGGGAAAGAATCTCAAAGGGACTCCGGGCTGAGCACAGAGCCCGACTCAGGGCTCAATCCCGTGACCCTGAGATCATGACCTGAGTCAAAGCCAAGAGTCGGATGCCTAACCAACTGAACCACCCAGGTGCCCCATGTTTTAAATTTTAAAACAAAAAACACTTGTGTCCCAAATAGTGAGATGGATGATGTATACTGAAGGATAAAAAAGATTTGGTCCCTGGCTAAGATGCTATAGATACCTAAAGAAACAGACAATTATAGTAGTGTAATAATTGTTAGGTATGGAAACACAAAAAAGAAAGATACTTTATCCAAACTTGGAGGTGGTAATGGTGAGGACAGGGATCAAGGAAGATTTCCCAGAGTGGGAAGACATTAACAATAAAGAACTGGGATATAAACAAGGACAGAGAGGAAGGAGCACTCCATGTAGAAGAAGCCACTGAATAAACATCCAGATTGTAGAATACAACGACTTATGAGAAATACCAGACCTGAATGGCTTCAAGATTTGAGGTAATTTCCTTCAAGAGCCAGCTAGGGGCTTTTTTTTGTTTGTTTTTTAAAAAAACAAGAGTATTTCCTTAGGGTAAAGTAGTCTTTAGAAAGAAAATAACATTGTGTAATTGTCTATTCTATTCTGCATTTCTCAGCCCATGGATATAGAATATTTTTCAAGGATGAAGCTGGTGAAAGCTTCTGCATCTTTCAAGAAATCTTTAAGGAAGCCTTGCCAAACTTCTGGATAAAGATGGTAGGTTGAATACATATCCATTTTGTTCCTCCCTAAAATCCTACTAAAAAAACAAAAGTAAAGGGGCGCCTGAGTGGCTCACTCAGTTAAGCATCTGCCTTCAGCTCAGGTCATGATCCCAGGGTCCTAGGATTGAGCCCCACGTTGTCGCTGGGCTCCCTGTTCAGCGGGGAGTCTGCCTCTCCTCCCTTTGTCTCTCTTCCCTCTGGTGTGCGCTCTCTTGCTCTCTCTTTCATGTTCACTCTCCCTCTCTCTCTCAAGTAAATAAATAAAATCTTAAAAAAAAAATAAAGGAATTTTTTTAAAAGGTATAATTCACAAAAGACTCCTCCCATCTCCTCCCCAACCCCAAAACCCCCCACCCCGGAAAAGAAAGTCAGGGGAGACAACAGCAAGATAATTTTCTTGGAAAGCAGATGGAAACATGATAAATGACTACACAAACCTGGGAAACTAAATCATAAGCCATCTGTGGTAAACTCATAATCAACACTTTATATCAAAGAATCTTGAAAATGTTCAGAAAATGGAAGTGAATGATGGAGCTAAAATAAAGAGGATCTGGTTGAAATTTTGTTTCAGAGGCTTCAGATCCTTTGATTTCCTTCCCAACTAGTAAAGTCAGGTGCTGGGGATACTGGGGGATATCAGCAACAGTAAAGGGGAGAGCACCATGTTGAAAATGGAGAAATTAAGTAAGCATATTGAGTATGAACTCCCAGCCTTCTTTCCCCAATTTTCACCAACCAGGAGGGAAATTAGAAGATCCTTCTTTGTGGAATCTAACTAGACCAAGGGGAAAAAACCTCAAAAAGTAACGCTGGAGTTCACTAATTAAGATGCCCCACCAGATCACCCTATAAGGAAGTTAACAGTCAACCAGCCTCATTCACATTCACATAAACTTGAATTAGCTTTTTAATCATCCTCTGTTAAAATTAAGCAATTAAAGATTACTATATAGTCTGAGAAAAACCTCCAATATGAAAGAATCAAAAACAACTACCTATAGAAAAAAAAAATGCAACTAGAAGGGGTTATGTGGAAATAGAAAATGTTAAAAACGGAGGGGGGGGAGTAGGTGACTTGATTTTATATGTAGAAAATTTTTTTTTTAAAGATTTTATTTATTTTTTAGAGAGCAAGCGAGAAACAGCATGAGAGGGGAGAGGGTCAGAGGGAGAAGCAGGCTCCCCGCTGAGCTGGGAGCCCGATATGGGACTCGATCCCAGGACCCTGGGATCATGACCTGAGCCGAAGGCAGACACTTAACCATCTGAGCCACCCAGGTGCCCCTGTAGAAATGTTTTTTGCAGAAATAAAAAAGCTGTCCTAAAATTCGTATGGAATCCCAGGAGACCCCTAAATAGCCAAAAAAATCTTGAAAAAGAACAAAACTGGAAGACTCATGCTTCCTGATTTTAAAACTTACTACAGGGGCAACCTGGGTGGTTTAGTCAGTTAAGCGCCGGCCTTCAGCTCAGGTCATGATCTCAGGGTCCTGGGATCAAGCCCCATGGCAGGCTCCCTGCCCCTCTGCCTCTCTCTGCGCTCATGCTCTCTGTCTCTCTCAAATAAATAAATAAAATCTTTTAAAAAAAACAAAACTTACTACAAAGCTGCAGTATTAACATCAAGACAGATATACAGACCAGGGAAATAGGACAGAGAGGTCAAAAAGAATGAGATCTTGCCATCTGCAACAACAGCATAGACCTAGAGAGTATAACAATAAGTAAAATTAAATTAGAGAAAGACAAGTACCGTATGATTCCACGCTTGTGGAATTTAAGAAACAAAACAAATTAATTTTAAAAAGAGACAAATAGGGGCACCTGGATGGCTCACAGTCAGTTGAGCATCTGACTCTTGGTTTCAGCTCAGGTCATGATCTCATGGGTCCTGAGATCAAGCCCACATAGGGCTCCAGGCTCAGTGCAGAGTCCTCTTGAAGATTCTCTCCCTCTGCCCCTCCCCCCACTGGTGCTCTCTCACCTGAAAGCTCTCTTTAAAAATAAATAAATCAGTCCTTTTAAAAAAAGAGAGACAAATAATAAAACAGACTCTCAAATACAGAAAAGAAGCTGGTGGGTTGTCAGAGGGTAGGTGGGTGGGGGGATGGGTGAAATAGGTGAAGGGGATTAAGAGTACACTTATCATGATGAGCACTGAGTAATGTTTAGAATTGTTGAATTATATTATACACCTGAAACTAATATAACAGTGTATGTTAATTGTACTTCAATTAAAAAAAGAGAAAGCCCAGAAATAAACCCTCCCATACATGGTCAAATGATATTTGACAAGGATGCTAAGACCATTTAATGAAGGTCAGCCTTTTCAACAAAT